AGATGCTCCACCACGGCCTGCAGTCTTTTTCTTTCCGCCGTCAAGTCTTCCACCAGCGATACCTGCTCCGGTCGCGAGGATGTGTGGTGGTCAGGGAATTCCCCGTCTCTCTCAACAGTGGCCAGGTGCTCTTTCTCGCCGGGACTCAAGAGATCGAGCCGGATCTGGTCGCCAAGATTGGCTCGTCTCTGTTCCTGCGCGACAATTTCGTTTTGTCGGTTTTGCTCGTCGGCCTGAAGACTCTCTACACGAAGCGTATGCTCGGCTTCTGTTTGCTGCAGTCTGTTGAGCCTTTGAAGCGCCTCCTGCTCTTCACCCCTCAGTGTAAGAAGTCTCGTTTCTTGGAGCGCCATGTCGTTTCTCAGCTGTGCAACGTGTCGAGAAAGCTGTCGTTCTGTTGCCGCCAGCTGTGCCAGCCTCGCTTCTTGCTCTTCCGTGCTTCTGTGGGCGCTTGTTCGTCGCTCTGCGACGTGCAGTGGCAAACGTTGCTCGTGGCTACTGCTATGGTCAAGCATGTGCGTGTCTTCCGTTGATTCCAGACCGGCCACGGAAATGCCGAGGTCTTGGCCGAAGAGGGCAAAGTATGCTGATCGCTGAATAAAGATGGATGTCAAACGCAAACGAGGTCTCGGCATTGGCCCGTGAAGCTTGTCTAGGAACATATCCCTTTTATCCCGAGCATGGTCCGCTGCATGGGGTTGGCCGCACAGGGCTGGTGGTTTCTCGACAGAATCGATTTCATCATCCTCCGTCAATAGCTGCGCGGAGATTGGCCGCGCCGTGGCCAGCACATCCGCGACAGTATCGATACTGGCGTTGATATCGTCGAATTCGAATTCCTCTGGTTTTCTGGCTGTTGTCAGCAGTCGACGCGCAATCTCTTGGTCCGGGTTCATTTGCACTAAGGCCTTGATCTCATCTGATTTGAAACCGAGCTTCTGCGCCAGACGCGCGAATCGAGATACCACGACCTCATCGGCCTGTCGTATCTTCGCCGTCGCCAGTTTTTCTTTGCTTTTGATTGGCATGTCCCGCTGCTCGCGCAGGGCATAGAGCCACAACTGTCGGTACGCGATGTCAAAGCAATCTGCGGCACTGATCGGAATGGTCGTGAAGGATGTCGAAGAGGTCTGCATGACGCACTCGTTGCCATCACCCGGAGAGAATGCCTTCTCCAAGGCACATCGTATGGATTCTCCCTTCTCTAGGTGGACGAGTCGTCGCATGCAGACCGCTGCAGGCTGCAGGTACTTGAGGTTCTCGAAGAAGGCGAGCAGCGAAGGCACCAAGCAGACTTCGGTGGCTGAACAAAGTCGCAACCAAATTCTGTTTCTCTCGGTGTCGCTGAA